AACCCCAACTCTTTGAGGGTGGATCTCGCAATCAGCCGCCGAATGTGTGTGCTACTTGAGTTGCCCCTGAAGGAGAAAGCACAAGAAATTCTTCCCGATGCCCTGAATAAGGTCCTCTTATTACATGGTAGAGCTGAAGATTTGTTTGGAATTTCACGCGACGGCCAGACAACGGCGAGAGCGTGCCAACAAGCAAGGGGCAAATGCGCCAGATAGCACTGAGGCGAAGTCTCTTGAGTAACCCTGCAGCCTCAACGCCCTGCCTTACGACTTTCCGGCACAAAACTTCTGTAGGGTTACGTATGTGGTTCCACACTAGCTTTCTCCACGAGAAATTTCTGTTCTTTTAAGTGATCGAGGGACATGCCTCTGAAGGATCAGCTTTCGAAAGGCGCAGACGACCAGAGTTCAGGCGGCCGCGTCTTTGGGCACAGGGAAACGAACTTATGGTTAATACCGCCACCGCATACCATCCCCCTAACTGCGGAGATGTTCCAAATGTTAGACTAATTAGGTTCGCGCGTCAAAATCAATACTCATGAACCAGTAATCTCTCTTTCAATAACCATATTTTTACGTAAAACTGCACCAAAATGAGCGTAAGGAAGTTCTAAACTCAGCTGCAAGACAGAATGAATGTTCTGCTGGGTTTTCTCTCGTTCTCGAGCCGCTAAAACTTTGTTCGGGACCTTTTGCCTTTTAGTGCAAACCCAGTTGGGGTGGAGAAGGGGTGGAACTCGGCAGGCCTCTGTGTTCCTTTCACTAACGCCATGACTTACGCTATGGTTAGCGTGAAGTATGTCTTCTCTACAAGGCTGCTGGGCGATCTGATCGTCTGAAACTGAGCGTTGGTCGAGAGGAGGGACACACCGACGCTTCCTACACCTCTTTTCTAATTCTTTTGCGAAGCGAAGTTTTTGCATTCTTACACGAAGCACCCACCACACAGCCCCTACACACGCTATCCCTCTTTGAAAGCCCCGCCCCATATGGCCACGCCCCCTTTTTGCCGCGATCACGCTTTACACTTATATTGCTCTTACTGTACGCTATAAATTCTATTTACATTAGTTTTCCACAACCTCACTATATCGTACATAAAGTATAGTAAAGAACCGCGTTACTGGTTGGGAGATGCTGGTGGTTCTGGTGTACGACGGGAAGGGGGGGGGGGCTGAAGAAAACTTTCACGCTCAAACATTCTACAACAACCTAGGGTTACAGCAGTGGGAAAAATGAAACAGGCCTATATTCGCATTTTGAGCAGTTCTAAAGTAGTCATTGAAGTAAAATCTCAACTATAGTCCTTCGCTGCGTGCGAAGGGGCGTGTCAGGCGGGATGAGTTTGGCGCGGTGCCAAACCCGTTCTCCACCAGTTGTTGAAGCGAGCAAGTGACAGACTGTATCATATCGTTCGTATTACTCGCTTTCTACTGAGAGTTGTCGCATACCCGCTCCAACAACTGGCAAAGAACGGGATTGCGCGGCGGGGCGGCGCCCTCATACTGCCTAGCACCCCCCCCCTCATTCGCAGCGAAGTGGAGTATTGATATATTTGAATGGATACTCATACAATGATACATTTTGCTCCGCCCACGACGACTCCACCCACTTTAAAGGATAGAAAAGGACAAAGTCTTCGCCGTTCACCAATCCCTTCATGGGATGCATTCTGCTTCTATTCAGAATTCGAAATTAGAGGATTTATTGAAAACTTTGCCGCTGTATAACTTTACATCTATGTTAGCGCCACCATTTTACATAGCAGCGCTTAGTGAAGATGTGCGACGCGCTGTAACAGTAGTCGCCATTGTGTCGCGTGGCATTCGACGATGAGTGCTCCCCCCACTAAATATGTTTGTCAACTACTGTAATGAGAGTAAGAAGTACTAAGACACTAGTCTTGCTTTGTCAGCCAAGCAGCTGTCTAAAGTGCAAGTTTTGTTCGGCACGCACACTTTTCTGCGTGTTCTGCAGTTGTGATCAATAGCCGTTTGCGTACTTCTTATAGCACTCATAGTCAGCGCATCGTTTTGATCGAATCGCACGTGTCGTGTCTGGTTCTGAGCTGCACTTTGCTATTCTCTTGACCTGTTATTTCGGTTCGTCTTCTAACGTTTTGTCTTATAACATTTTTTTAAAGATTTCATGGTTTCCGCTCGCACCTGGAAGGAGTTGGGTGCCTTTGGTGGCCTTGTCGTTGGTGAGTTTTTCTCGTTTGGCGCATTTTTTTCAATGGACAAGAAAGTGGTCTTGCCGTTACTTACTCATGAAGCAGTTCGGCTTAGAGGGGGGAGGGGGGGGGCACAACTGGCACTTTCAACACTTCATATCGACGTGCTCATTGCTTTACAAGAGTTGACAAGTGATCTCTACCTTGACTGGTATCATTTCGTGGCTTCACAAGATTTCACAGTTTACCACTTATGGCTCGACGTGACAATGGGAATAAGTAAATGTGCAAAGTCCCCCTCCCTCTCCCCCACCCCAAGTCGAACTGCGCCTTATATTTGTGCTCCATGATCTTGTTCCAATTTGTTTAGTTTACTGCTGAGTAATGCATTGTGGAATTCGTTATGGTTTTGTTTTATTTCAGCTATGCATATCGCCTATTACACGATTCAGAACAATCCATCCTTAGTGGCACCAGATCAGAGATCAGAGTTGTTTTACGTATGTTTTGAAGGTTTTTTTTGGCACAGTTCTGCTTGGGGCGGGGGGGGGGTAAAAGTGCCTGTTACTTTGTGCAGTTATAAAATGTTTCGAGTGTCATTTTCAAAACTTTCCCGAACTTATCACAAGAATGCTGAGTTATGGGCAAAAGTCGTGCCCCAGGCGGGAGTCGAACCCGCACCTCACGCTTTCCGGGCGAGTGCGCTATCAGTTATCATAACAAAACAGCTTCAAAAACTTGTAAAGCCTTCGGCCTTGCGGTTCCATGCCGATATCTAACGATTACGGCTGACCGGCTCACCAAGTTAAACGTGTGAGTGCTGTAAGGTAAAACCCTGGTGGCGTAACGGATAGCGCACTCGCCCGGAAAGCGTGAGGTGCGGGTTCGACTCCCGCCTGGGGCACGACTTTTGCCCACAACTCAGCATTCTTGTGATAACATTCGGAACGCGTGCGGCGTTAAACAGCAGTTATCATAACAAAACAGCTTCAAAAACTTTCCCGAACTCTTTCTTTGGCAAAATCATCAGTTGTTTTAGTTATGCTTCGAACTTTCCTTGGGCTCAGTTCTGTTACTTTTATCTGCACTAAATGCTGCCCACAGCAGAAAGGTCAACAAAGAAAAGTCGTTTTTATCAATTCCCAGTTCTTCGAGAGCTCAGAGGTCTCCGCAAAGAAGCCGAGCATGTTTACGGGTGCGCAAAATGGCCCGCCCCACCCCGAGAAGCCGAACTGCCCATTTTTTTGAATGAGGTTTCCTCTGTTCCATTGATCGCTCTAAGACTGAGTTTCTTAGCTTTCATTTTTTAGAGGTGAACTACATACACTTCTAAGCGTGCTGAGTGGGAAAGGAGGAAGAAAACGTGATTGAGTAGCTCGTTGAGAAATGATTCAACGGCCCTTTGCGATGAAAGGACCGTGGGCTTCCTAGGTTATCGCGATTTTGCAATCCGAAGACCATTGTTTTTTACAGATTCCGGAGCATAACAAGGCCTACGCCACATCTGGTTTTCACCGCTCGCCGAAATCGTTAGAGTACCGAGGCCTATTTTTTTATATGAATAAGGAACCTTTACTAGACCTGCTTACCGCCCACGGTAACATAAACCCTTGGCGAGTTGGGGGTGACCTGAACCTGCACGACCCCATCGAGAACCATCCTCTTTTCAAATGTGCCGATGACTGAATCCTTTCTGCCAAATGTCTGTCTGCCGAAAAAGAAACGTTGATTTGCCAGTATTCGTGTGATTGCTATCGATTTTACCCTTTCGCCCCATCGCATCCAGATTTATGAGTTCGCCGAGGCAGCGCGTTCGTTTGTTGTTCTTTTCAAGGTCCTTGTTTTTCCAACCCCTTTCGAACACGTTTCCATTGTGCAGCTGAATCAAGAAAATGTTAGCAGTAGTCTTCGCCTGGTTTTCGTAAAGGAATCGTCACGTTACACTTAAAGAAGCTTGAAATGCGGCGTAATATTGTAGTTTTGGTGGCTTTTGGCTGATACATAAAATTTTGGGCATAGTTCAGCTTGGAGGAGCATTTAGTACCTTCGCTAAGTCTTTTTTGATTCAATTAACTTATAGTTATCACTTTGGTAAAAGCTGTAACCTGTGAAGCTGCGACATAGTTCGAGTGAGCAACTTTGGTCACAGGAATTTAAATGTCTTCACAAGATGGCCTGTACAAGCTTAGCTGAGTACCATCTGTTGCCCCCCCCCCTTGCCGATCTGCGCCAATTTCTGTTTTATATTTAGTATACGTCAGGGAAAGCTATTGGATTGTTGTCTTAAAGGCACAGTCCGCGATCAGGTATCGAAGTTGAAAATATGGCTCCAGGAGGTTAGAGTGGTCCGCGACGAACAACGGTTTCGCGGCAAAAAATTCTATGGGAGGGGCGCTGTAGCGCAATATAGGTTCAGTGGCTCCTCCTTTTTTCCAGTGACTCCGCCTCCAGACTCCGCCCCTAATGACCGACTTCCAGTGAAAAATGAGATTGCAGGACGAAAAAGCATGATAATCGCCACTTGTACGATCGTAGAAATCTTATCGGTGAATCAGCCGTGCATATGAGGGCGTAGTTTTGGAGATAGAGTTGATTGGGCACGTACAAACTGGGATCGAAATGGGGTTCTATCTAGGGCAGGTGGCATGTTTTTTGTGCTTTTTTTTGTTCACAGTCGAGTTACTCAACCCCTTGTCGTCTATATGGAACCCCCTAATCCACCATCTGAGATGGCGAGTAATCGCGGGTTTTTCCTTTAACAGTAGCCCAGACAGATATCCAAGTGTGCGCATGAAGGGCTAGTTCCGGTGCCCAAGCGTTAGTATTCCAGTCAGGGCTGATCATTGACATACGGAAGATTTCTCATCGAAGTCCAAGTCTTCAAACTTATATATCGTTTTAGGTACGATGGTTGAAGAAGAAGTTTCCGGCCCTTCGTCCATATGGTGTTCAAGAACCAGAACCACCGGCACCCCCCAGCCAGTAAAGCAATTCCTTTTTTTACGTAGAATAGTTTCGCAATTTTCAACGCCGGTATTGATGAATATAGGTCCTACTGACTTCTCAAATAGAATGTTCATTATTATTCTGCCTTGGTGATTAGCTCGGTGAACAAACGTGTCGTGATTTTCATTTGATCAATAAACCAGTTCTTTCAAATGTTCTGTAGTGAAATAACTTGGTTTAGAAGCCTTTTGTACAGTCAAAAAATTGCCTTTTGTACAGTCAAAAAATTATCTTATTAAGAGGTACGTAGGATTATAGATGACCACAATTCGACCTTTCGATGTGATGGATATGTTGAAGTTCAACAATGTGAACTTGGATAGTATGACTGAAACGGTATTGTGCTTTTGGTACTATTTCTTATCCAAATGAAATATTTCTGGGCGAAAAGGATGCGGGAGTAGTCATTGTTTGAGGGTTAAATTTGGAGAATTGTAGACAGTCTAGGGTTCGCGAAATCCTGTTACTGCCAGGTATCCTTTCTGAGTTCTGTGAGAGTGTGCACGGTGATTTCTGAATGTCATGGGTAGAATGAGATTGATGGGTGAAGGTAAAATACAACGCGCCCATGATTCGCTCCGCTTACTCGCTTGATTCTTACCAGTTTTTCGAATACCAGAGATCAATTCAGAAGTCTGGGCAGGGTAGTTCAAGCAGTCCCGCTTGCAAATTCCGTCCATCTAGTGATTCTACTAAAGTGAAGCTTCAAACGCAGGTTAGCTTCCGACTCGACTTTTCGGGTTGAGCCACGCATTCCGCTTTCATTTAGGATCGTTGTGGCTTTTTTGAACAGGATTCGGCCTCTGCATAGAAGAGGAGGGGGAGGCTGCCTGATTCACTACTGAGCATTTCTGTCCTTTCAGGAACGCTTGTCACTATTAATGGACCATGGAGGAAAGGAAGACTTAGTTGGTGTCGCAGGAGCGATTCGGATTTGACCCTCTTGGCCATACCCCTCCGACCGCGCGCTGGGTGAAAGGTAATGTAGTAGTACGCCACTGCTATTACATTACCTCTGCACTTGGTCAGAATATGTATTCGAATTTCCACAATGAAGTAAATCCCATATAAACTCTAAAATGCGACGAACAAACCGAGATCCCAATGCGGAGGAACCCCTACAACTCTTTTCAGCGGCATAGTCCAATACAAACCTTCGAATCGGGGCACGAAGGTAACCAGACGTGCTCTCGCTGCGAGGGTCCAGGGGTATTTTCACGAGGCATCTACCAGTCCAGTAGTTGGAGGGAGAAGGTAAAGGAGGAGGGATCAGAGAAGGAAGGAGGACGAAAAAATGAAAGAGAGGAGAAGCTTCCCGGTTGACAAGTGCCCTGAGACGGGGCAACGAGCTGAATCTCAATGACATACACTCTAGTCCTCTTCGGACGGTGGGCGTGTCAGCCACTGTAGGGTGTGTAACCCTATAAAAGCCGTTCTCTGCCTTCTTACTGAAGAGCGCATGCGACAAAAAGTGGTAGAGGAAGAGTAATACGAAGGATATGATACAGTATTGTCACTTGCCCGCTTCAACAACTGGTGTAGAGTTTGGCACCGCGCCAAACGCAGCCGCACTGACACGCCCAACCGTCCGCAGCGAACTACACTATATCATTGTTGATCTGTTATAAAGTCATGTTTTCAGTATGGATTCAATTTCTACCTGTACTATCTTGTCAACTGGCCCGAGTACTACCAAGTAGCCGAGCACCCGAATGGGCAAATTATGGGATATAGTGAGTTTTGTGATATATCAACATTTCTTAGCCAGTACATTTTAGGCGCTAGTTGCGTGTAAAGTTCATGATTTCAGTAATGGGTAAAGCCGAAGGACGAGATGAGAATTGGCATGGTCACGTCACGGCACTGTCAGTAGCACCAGATTATCGTCGCCTTGGGCTTGGTGCTCGCATGATGCATACGCTTGAGCATATTTCAGAAATGTAAGTGGTTAGATACTGTTCCGATTATCTTGGACTTCCAGTATGGTGTTTAGTATATTTGACGGCTACGAACATCTTAAACTTAATCCCTTTGAACAAGTCGCTATTCTGCTTTTTTTTCCTCTGCACTCTCTCGTCC